TTGTCCGTGTCAACGATCAATTCAAAATATCTTGACTTTTTTAGAATAGGTCCAAGTCAAATAGCAATGATTCGAAGCACTTTAGACTATTTTGAAAACCCAAGGACTCAATCGTATGGATATGTAAAATACAGGATTTCCAATCCTAGCAAGAAAAGGAGGAGAAACAGATACTCAATTTCAAGTGAGTAAACAGAATTTCATACTCAATATCATAGATACATATAGAATTCTGTGGAAAGTCGTATTCAATAAAAGTCGTATGTACGGCTTAGAGGGAGATCTTTTATATCTTTCGTTTCTTTGTTTATGTTTTGGATTGGAACAAATTATTAGAATTCGCCCTCGCCTGCGAATTAATCGATATTTTTCATAAATTTTATGGACAGAGGCCCCTATTTTCATATTTGTAATTCCTTAATAAGTTAATGCCAAATCTATTTATTGGAAGAAAATAAGGTTTCTTTACATTTTGAACTTGTACCCCAAAAAAAATTTGTTGAAATTAAAAAATAGTCTAATTAAATTAAATTTTTTATGCTTCCTTTTTTTTTACGGGCATATACATATAAACATATAAAAAGTACATCGAATCTTTTGACAAACATAGCTTATAATTCAATTTTGATTATATGAAGGAATCTGAAACATACCCCTCGGAATTTATTTTATATATATATTATATTGAATTTAAATTTATTTATTTTGTAAAATATAATAATTTTCTTTTAGCTGATTCAACAAATTGTGTGAATGTTATTTTTTTATCAATTTTATGTGTTTATTATGACTTTATTTATTAAATATAAAATGTCTTTAAACAAATAAAATATGATCCTAAAAAAACTAAAATCTTTAATGCTTTAATAATTTTTAAAAATAAATCAAAAAAATAAAAATAAAAATTTATTTAATATGAAACATTTATAATTAGTGCTCAAATAATATTTTTAAAATTATTTATAAAATTATATAAAAATTATCAATAATACAGATGAAAAGTAGAAAAATATGTAAACTAATTTGATAATAAAATATTTATATTTTCATTAATATTAAGATAATTTTTTTTGTAGCAAGCTTTGTTAACAAGAAGCCACCTAAATAGGTTAGGCTCAAGTCTAATAATTATGTTACAAGTCAGGCCTGTTTACAGTAAAGTCTGGCTTAACCTGACCTGTTTTCATCTCTACTAACAAAGAAAATTAATTAACATTTGATATTATTATGTGTATGACACATTACTTTACCATTTTATAGACTTTAACACTATTAATTTTGTCTATTTTGATAATATTGTTATAATTTAATTATTTTAAATGAATTTTAAAATCTTGTACACTTAGGTCAAAAAGTCACAGAAATGGTCACTACCCTCCAAGCCTTGTGACATATTTATAATATACGATGATATTTACTTAACTAATCACAACCTCAAGACTTGTAAAGTAAACAAAACACATAAATAATTGCATCTAGAATTCATGAGAACAAATCATTCAAATTGTTATAAAAATATTCATGACAAAAATAATGTTAAAAATAATTGGTATGAGACGGATTAAATGTTGTCTTTAAAGATTTATTTATAAAATATGTTATAATTTTACGATTTAACAAAAGATGAACTCAGATTTATAAACTTGTAAAAATAGAATTTTGTAAACTTAATCACCAAAAAAAAAAGCAAGAAGAAGATGGAAAAAGAAAATGAATTAAGAAAAGAAAAATGAAGTAAGAAAGAAAAAAAATTAATCATATATTGTTTTATTATAACTATTTATTAAAAAGTAATAGTTTGTTACGATAGATAAATATTTAATCAATTAAAATATCACCCAAAATATTATTTCAGATGAAACAAAACAAATAATAAAATAAAATAAGAATTAATTAAAATAAATAATATATAACATATATCCAACAAGTCATATGAACCGTCAATAGCGACTCATGACTCATCAACCATGGTGATTTCAGCAAAATTTTCATTTTCATTGGGATGAGAGCAGGTGCGAGTATTGTTCATAATGTTACAACAATGCGTGTTTAAAACTTCACCAGGTGGTATCAAAGTTTATGGTGCATATCTTAACCACGGGTGCGAGGCCAATTGGGTCTGAACCTGTTATTGGGATTGAAGAGACCTCTCAGTCTTCCAATGGCTCATGGGGCTCCCAGTTTGGCCACACTGGAGTGTTCTAAGATGCTTATACTGTGGCAAGGATCACCTTCTCTGTAGGGATAGAGAAGTGTTAGATTAAGAGGCTGTGAAGGGAAGTGGAACTGTTTGAAGAGGATCGTCTTTATTACATGTTCTTCGCCAGTTAAAGAAATTGTTGCCATTGTTCTTGAGCTTACAGGGGTTACTTAAAAGATTCATACAAATTAGTTTGTAGAATTAGGTATTACCCTTCTTTCATGATCCCTTCAATACGAATGATATTGTCTTTATTATGGTCAGTGAAATCCTTCATCCATAATATCACATATATTGTAAGACATGCTGCCGTTTATTATAAGGACTAATTTATTGACAAATGTTCTATCAAAATTAAAGGATACCTTTGTGCAATGGTTCTCTGGGATACGGCTCGAATTGTGTCTAGCTCCATAGCATGCGAACTAACACCGAGTACTCATTTAATTTGTCCTTTTCTTATCTAATTATTAAATACTTCGCACCCATCTCATAAATAAATAAATAAAATTAAAAAATTCATGACAAATTGACAAAATTTCGATATAAGCAAATATATTAATTACAATTTTGTAATTTGTATATTTTCTTTTTAAATAGATAGATAAAGAAAAACAGAAGTATATCAACAGAAATCAAGTTTTATATATAATTTATCAATATTAATTCTTAAACTAGAATACATAATTTATCGAAATGTTCTGAATTAAATTTTATTTATCATACCAAATAATATTTCTACACTATACATTTATTTAATTCAATATTAATTTAATTTTTATAATTTATTATAGATTTATTTCATATAAAAAATATCTATTACTAATAATTATAATGTTTAATCTTTTTAAAATTTATAAAATTTTAAAATTAATCATATAATATATTTTAATTATTTATTAAATTTTAATTTAATTTAATGATACTGGTACAATGAAAAAAATATATACTATTTATACTTATAACAAATTAAAAATACATTGATAATATCAAATAGTATACATTTTAATAATTTTCGTATGTTTGACTTACCCTTAACCAAACTGGTGTTATATATGTATAGAAATTTTATGACAATCTTAACTAGGTAAGTTTTTAGTAACTATGACAAATACTAGTAAGTGTCATTAAATACTATTTAAAAATTAAAAATAAATTATTAAAAATATAATTAATATATTTTCATCATAAATTTTTATAAAACTTTTTAATAATTTTTTATTTAATTCCCTTAACACGATTATTAACACGACTTTAGTTATAAATAATTAAACTTTCATTTTAGTCCTTAAAATAATTAGCGTAAAATATTTTAATCTTTAAAATATTAAAAATGTCATGTTAATGTTTGACTTTTATCTCTATTGAACATTTTAATCTTTAAATTATTAGTAAAAAGATGTGAACATATGAAAAAGCTAAGTTGACTGATATAGCATTATTTTACATAATAAATATGGAAATTTCCATTTTCTCTCAAAAACATCCTAATTTCTCTTCCAAAGTTAAGCCACCTTAATTTTTTCCTGAAATCTTAAATCCTAATTTCACGACCATGAGAATTAGAGAACGGGCCTTATTCCATGGCTCATTTTATCCTTTCACAAAGAAGGGTGTTAGTTTCATCGATATTTTCAAGCATGGAGAAAAAGAATCAAGTGAAGTACTCATAATACCATTGGTTCCAAGCTTGGTTTAAAACACAAGCAAATAAAATTGTCATACAATAACACCAAATTTTAAAGCCAAAATAATTATTCTTTCAAATCAAAGGCTAGTCAAACTTAAAGTAGAAAGGTAGAAAAAAAAGCTAAGTATCCTCTTGACTTGTAAAACTATCAACAAAAACAAAAACATCACATATTCAACATTCAAAAAGAATTGGGATAAAAGTTAAGATTCTTTGTGAATAGAATTTGAGAAAAAAAAAATTAAAGTTCTTTAAGAAAGAAATTAGGGTTTTCATGAAAAAAAAAATTTCACATTTATTATATAAAACGTCAGTATAAAACAACTCAACATTTTCATATATAATTTAAACATATCAACATTCTATTACTATTTATTAACTTTAAATCTAAGAACTAACTTTAAAACCAAAATTTAATATTTCAAAGACTAAAATATCTTAAGCTAACTATTTCAAAAACAAAACAATTTAGCCAATTATAAATCAACTTTACCCACAAAAATGCATCCCTTACTTTAAAGGTGTATAATCTAAATTTATCCGAGATTTCCATTATTTCCACCAAGCATTCATGATAAAATAAACAACAGTTAATTCGTCATGTGCTGCTTCCATCGAAACTGTAATCCATGCTTGCCATAAACGTTTAGAAGAAACTTCACTGAAATAACGTATTGATTGTTGAAGAGAGAGAGTAGTTTAATGAACGGGTGATTGATAAAGGAATAAACCGGCATAAGCAGCAAACTATTTCATTCCCATCTTACGAGAACACTACCGTAGTTTACTTATGTAGTAGCAATGACTTACACTGTCTACTCTAATCATGAAACAAAAACAAAAGACATGAGTCAATTGGTCGATTCCATTCGATGTACCCTGCTTGGATTCTTTTCCCCTGGTACAAAGAGAACGGTACTACAAAGAGTCCAAGAGAAAAAGGTTCAATCTTCCTTTCATTTATCTTCGAAGCCTTCTCCCACTGGGCCTTCTTCCATTAGCCTATGGAAAACCCACCAGAAATTCTAATACGTTCAGCCAAGAGATTAGACATAGGAAGCGTTCATTCTATACAGTATTGTTGCTTGACTGCATAGATAAAGATGAGCCAAATTTTATAAAAGATAGTGTATTCATAGTCTTGGGTCATATGAGTAAATGAGTAATTAAGTGATGCATTTGTAACTTCAAATGACGTGTTTGCAATTAATTTACATTTCCACGTCAGAAAACAAGATAAAAGACAGAAGTAACCCATCAGCACAATTTTCTTCCAGAATCTAATTGTCATATATACATGACGTGTTTGGACAACCTATACTCAAACTCAAATTGAATGCAAAATCAATTGAGAAAGAACTATCAAGTCATAACCATCACAATATTGCACGAGAAAAAACAATGTTCGTGAAGGTCATATTTGCTACATCTATGACAATGACGTTACAGCCAGAAGGGACTTACACTGCATCAGAAAATAACGTACATGACCTGATGTTAGATATCTCTTTAAGCCAAGCTGTACTTAATCCAGCAGACTTCCTTCGTAGTTTCAATAGAAAGAAGAACATCTACCACATTATGTACATTGTAACCGGTTAGATGTCAATAATATAATGGCACATACTACAGCTGGATGTGGGAATTGGCCTTTGTAAGAGCTTTAACAAAGTAATTGCGGATTTCTGGTATTATACGCTGAATCAGATGAGAGTGTCTGCAAGTAAATAGTTGGTGCAAGCAAAAAATTGATGTTAGTAATTAAGTCATAGAATCAATGCAAACTTGCAAAGTTAATGTGAAATTCAGTCATCATATTCGTGATTTATTTGTCCAGCAAAAACGTAATCACTCAACTAAGTTCAAACCAAAGATAGGTGTCTGCTGTTAAAGCTACCTATAATATAGCAAGTTATTATGCATCCAAAATAAAAAAATGAAAGACCAGCGCAATGCAACCCCCACCCCCTCCCAAAGAAAACGTACTACATGGGATATGGTTCTCCATATTTCCATCACCACAAAAATAAAAAATAAATAAATAAAAAATCGATCTTTTATTTTCTTGTCTGAATACTAATAGAATCATGTCAAAAAGATGCTTGTTAGATGTCACTTGACCATTAAATGAAATAGAGCTTTGCACTAAAAAGAAGAGTCATAGGAACCCCTTGGAGAACTATTCCTTATTAATTACAGGATATTAGTAGATTTATAATTTTGATTTAGACCAGTAGAAGAATGTCATTGTTTAAGTAGTGCCCAAAATAAAGACAAACAGTATTAAAAGTAGGTGGAACACAACTGACCTAAAACCTCCAGCTTACCCAGAATGATTCAGATATTTAGTCTATTTAGATTACCTACTCATTAGTATTGCAAACATCTTTTATGCGTTGCAGAGGAAAAAAAACATATGACAACAAGCAAACACAGGATTGAGGGAGATCAAATGAATACCCTGGCCTTGCACTCAATTTATCAAAGTGCTCCAAGATAAAAAGGATGCATGTGTGCCTCAATGATATAGCATTAAAGGCTTCTGAAAGTTCATACATACTTGACACATTTTCAAGTGATATATCCTGCAGAAAAAACATCAAGTCATGAGAAATTCACTTTCCAGTTGAATGTTAGTGCAGGAACATGAATCAAGACTGCAGGTGTGTGTGTAGCCAAAATCAATTCTCTTAGCTGACCTGTGCAATTGTGTATTCACAGAGTCTCTTAAGTCCTTCTAGAAGATATTGGTCAGCTGCTCGGAGGAGATCTTGAGCAATAACAAGGGTGACATCAACTGATCCAGTGTATATAAATCTGAAGATTAAAAAAAGAAAAAAAAATATTTAAGTTGTTCACAAATTAATACAAGCTCTCAAAAAACAACTATCATAAATCACATTAATGCAGAAATTATTTCACCTCATCATCAGCTCAAAAACCTCCCATCTAATGTTTGGAATCTCTATGTCCCTTGCATCCTTCTCCTGCAAGCAATAAAAGACTTGTATATCAAACACACATTAACAATTTTGTGCTTAAATATGAATACAAACTTCTATAGCTATATAGTCTATATTTTAATTCAACGTGCAATTCATCAGTCAAATCTCTAGCAAATGTTTTCACAAGGCAGACAAGCATTAAAACCAAAATAATAGATGATAAATGTTTCTCATGAAATCCAGAGGAGTCAACAAAGGAGTTCTCTCTTTTTTTGGCTGATAGTCAATAAAATAGTAACAGGAAAAGAGGGTGCAAGAGAGAAGGCATGATTCACTGGTGGAGATCAATAATACTCACCCTATAACCACCATCAAACATTGCCCGAAATGCATCTGAAGACGCAAGTAGGCAGATTCTGTGAGCATAAAACCGTTTACCTGCAGCAAAGAATAAAGAATCCAGGTTATCTACAAATGTAAGCTGAATCTACAACATGGCATGTTCAGGTATATTATTTTGCAAGCAACAATTTCAAGAAAACAATCAAACTGAATGAAAAGCATTCACCTTCCACCAAAAATGTAACGTCAGACAAGGTAGCATTGTTTACATACTGTTCTCCCAAATAAACCTGCAAGAAGAGAAGCCTAGGATCACATATATTAAACATTTTAAAACACCTTAAGGATCCAAAATTCTTTAGACAAGACAGAAAATGAGGAGTGAGCAGTGCATGAGTGCATCAGGCCTCTTATGCAAGTGGCAGATGCATCATTCAAAGACATAGTTTGTATTAACTACAGATTATTGGACCTGCAAATGCAGATTCTAATTAATTAAACACATCATGATATTCAAATTAATTTTAAAAAAGATGAGAAGAAAACTAGAATAACAAAGCTTTTCTAGATCATTGGTAAGATTAAAAAATGTAAATAACCTCACACAGCTAACACTTGCCTTTTTAAGTATAAAGGTGTGTGCAAAATGATTTTATCAGCATAAAAAGGAAAAATCAAATAGACCAAGGAAACAAAATTTTCATATATCATCATGAAAAGGACAGAAAAAAGAAATTTAAACGAGAAAATGTCAGCATACAAGCATTGAGATCATACGAAAATATAGGGAAAAAATAATCAAACTCGTAGCAATGACGTTCTAAAGACTGAGGACAAGCCAAGCATTGTTATACAATCTACCTGGGGTGTTGGAGATGGGGGTGCAGCATCTACAGGAGACAAAGTCATAGCTTTATTGGCCAACTTGCATAAACCCACAGCTCCATCAAGTTGCTGCTTAGGGTTCGAAGAGCCAAGAAGCCCCATAAGCAACTCCAAACCTGCATGGACAGATGCTTAACTTAAAAGAGAATAGAAAATAGCAATAAAGCACCCACAAAAAAGGATTTTAAAAGCAAGAAACAACATACATCAGGCTCATGAAAAGATTTTACTAAAAGATGCATACCATGGTGATCAATAAATATCTTTCTCTGATCATCTGCAGAACAAAGATGAGCAAGAGCCAAAGCAACTCGTCTTTGAAAAGCCTTTTCTGAAACACGCATCAGATATAACAAATGGTTCAGGACCTACAAAAGAGAAAATCAGTAAGTTACAAATTTGACTAGAGTATAGTACCCATAAGGCTCAACTGTTGCTGTTGAATAAACTTAGGGAACTGATAACTGATACAGTAGTAGCACTAGCACCCCTATCATTTCCATGTTAATTTCAGCAAAACAAATCAAGTAACAAGCAAACATGACATAGTGCTTACGCGGCCATGAATCTTCTCTTCCAATCTTTTCAATGTTTTTGCAACACAATCCTTAGTTGCCTGCAATGGAAACCAATTCCATATAGGTTAGTGTGTGCCTAACAAGATAAAATTTGCATGCAAATATCTGAATTCCCATAGACATAGACAACAAACGGCACAAAGAGAAACCCTGAAACCAGAGAAACTGCCTAGGTATCAAAGAGGTAAACTTACTTGAACAATAAACTCCCCATCCTGCAGTCTCTGAATTCCTCCAACCCTAATAAAATCGGACACATTATCCTATGGGACAAAGTGGGGAAAAAAACAGCTAATTAATGTTGGTCTGAAGTAATAAATTTTCTACACAATCAGGACAGAAGAACTTTAATTATTTGTTAGAATTCTTACACAGAAAGTTGATTTTACCTCATTATCTGCAAGGCCATAAAGAGCAAAAGCAGCATTATGTTGCAAAGACCCATTTTTTGAGTCAAGAAGCTTAAGTAATGGTATCAAGCCACCATTGTGTGCAATACCAGCTTGGTTATGTATGTCCTGAAATTTAAAGTTAAATATTTTCAGGCCACAGGAAATTATTATTGTGTTAAAAGGAACTTGTGATTCAAATTAAACATGGAAATAGTACATAACATTAGTTTTTATACAGCTGTACTACAATATATTAGTTAGAGTGATCCAATATATATCCCAGTAAACATAATGCTCAACATTAGACTCAAAACCAAATTATAAAGAGGTAACTAATTAAATTGTGTTCATGATATAATTATAACCTAACCTTGTCAATTTACACAAGTGAACTATAACATGGAAAAGACATGGGAAAACAAATAACCTGAGCTAATCTCCCCAATGCAAAGGCAGACATTTCTTTGAGCTGAACATCAGCAGACTGAAGCATCTCTATCAGAGGTCGGACAGCACCTCTCTGAACAATGTGAACCTACAAAAACCCAAACAAATTGTAAGGTACTAAATATAAACAGGGAGACATAATACATTGTGGATGAAGCATTGACTCAGGAGTTAACACCCGCCCGACTCAAAGATAAGTAATACAAAGAATCCAACCTTTGAAGTTGGAATTATAAGAAAATTGCTCCAAAATCCAAACTAAAAATCCATATGTCTATTGCCCTTTCCACCACTTTTCACCATCCAGTCAACAAGCATAAAAACAGATGTGTGAGGTTTTTCACTTTCTACCTTGCTCTCCCTCACCCTTCAGTACAAGTCATGGAGTTAGAACACTTAAGTCTATACCTACCTTGCAGTCTGAATCAGTTGCTGCAAACTGTCCAAGTAACAAGGCTGCTTCCCTTTGGCTCTCAGAGCAACAAGAGCTGTTTGATAAGACAACATTAGAATAGATTATATAAAGATATCATTTTCAGCAACTTACGTTATGAAATATTGTTGCCATGAAAAAGGTGCTTCAGGGATATTATAAACACCAATACACACAATGTAGAGTTGAAACTTGAGAGAGGGAGGGAAGGGAGCATTGTGGTTTTCCAGGGTCCAAACTGAGAATATACCTAAGCAATCCAATAACAGGTTGCAATGCTCCAGCAAGAAGAACTTCTTTCTTTATATTAGGGGAAGAGTGGACCAGATTTCCAATCACACCAACCTGTCAACATTGAAATTCAGTGCATGTGCACATTAAGAAAAGACCAAGATCAACACTACTGCAAAATTTAGCATTTATAATTTAAAGGTTGCACTAGAAATACCGCTTCATAATGAATAGCAGCATCTTCTGAACGAAGCATTAGAATCAGAGTTGGAAGAGCATTGCATTCAACAATCTGACAAGTCATGAAGTTAAGTGACTTAACTAATCATATGGAAGTCAATTTATATTCCCAACTTTCAGCAAAGACCACTGACCTGATTTTTATTTTCATCATTTTTAAATGCAAGGGTCCGCAATGCACCAGCAGCTGCTCTTTGCACCTTTGTATCCGCAAATTCAAGCAAATGAACAAGTGGTGGAATCCCACCTTCCATCCTACATATTAACTCCAGATCATCATAAGAACAAAATTATTTTCCAAATTAAATTTCAACTGCTCAGTAGTCCTAAAAGAAGCAAACCTGACACGGGTTTTAATGCTGCTGTTCTCATGAGCAAGATTAGTAATCGCATCTGCAGCCCTACGAATGAGACTATTAATGGCACGTGATGTTAGGCCATTCTTATGCCTCTTTAAAAGATCAACAAGATGTTTTAAGGCACCACTGTCAACAATGAGCTGCTGATGTTCTGGCTGTGAAAGACATTTTCAAACAAAATAGCTAGCCTGGGTTAGAAATCCTCCAACATATTACACCCTCAATCATTATCTTCAAAGCTTCCATCTACTACCAGTCTAAAATTGTTCACATCATTTGGCCAAAATAATTAAACGATACAATTTTTCTATGCAAAAAAGGAAGGGGGGATAGCATTTCATTGAAAAAAATGAAAAACATAAGAGGAATGATAACAAAACACTCTTTTTAACAGACTCTAACTATTGGCTAAATTTATTGAAAATTACAAAAAATCATATGGATTCGAGTCTTTCTCACTCCTAAATTAATGTTCTCCGCCGTAATTTTATAGTTTTCAATAAATTTTCGCCCATAGTTAGGAGTGTGTTAAAAAAAGTGTGTTCCTAGCTTTCCTCAAAGCATAATTTACAATAGTATGAGAATTTTAAGTTAAATAGCTCCATCAACAATAAATTACAACACAGTAACTGGCGTAGAGCCAAAATCTTGAATCTTATCAAACATGATTACATAGAACTAGCAGAATCCATGGTTCTAATAATTCCTAAATAATTAACCAGAAAAGAGAGAAGTGAAGTTACCTTGACGGCAAGAAGTCCAAGCGCGAAAGCACTCCCCTTCTCAACCTCGTGCTCAAACGGCAATGGCCTCTGGACGTGGTCGTTTTCAGCCGAAGGAGGCGCTTGAAGATGCTTAACCAAAGCCGGAATGGCGCCTCCTTCAACAATCACGTTCACAACTTCCTCTGCAAACCCAACCACCGAACGATTCAGACACAAACGCAAGCATGCAACGGACGGGAACACTGAATTCAACGAAAACTGAAAAAGAAAGAGGCAAAAGGCAAGAGAGGAACAGATTTACCATTTTTGGCGAGATCGGCGAGGGCGTGAGTGGCGCGCTTCGCGGCAGCACGATCGGATTCCTTCCAGGAGAAAGTAGAATCAAGGATGGAAACTTGTTCCTTAACGTCGGAGAGGAGAGCGTAGCGAGCGTCGCCGGTGGGAGGCGCGGAGATCTGCCGGTCATCTTCGAATTCCTCTTCCAGCTTCCTCTTCTGCCCTTTCCTCTCCGGAAGACACTGATCTGGTCGCCTCTGGAGCTCCATCAGCAACAACAGAAGGACGAGAAGAGGAAGAAGAGGAAGGTTCCCCTCTCTTCTCTCTCTGCGAGATACAACACAACACTGTATGAAATGAGGTGAGAGAGAGAGAGAGAGAGAAGAGGGTGATCCAAAATGGAATTTGGGATTTGAAGAGGGGTGCCAGATCGGAGGGGTATTTCAGGAATTACGCACATTCCTTTTTGTCTTTTGCTTTTGAGTTTTAACCGATGGGAGAGTTGCGGACGGGGTGAACAGTGCGCACTCCCTTTTGGTAGTTGTTTAATTTGTCTGAGTCTATGGACTAACGTGCGCTCCCGCCGGGAATGATGTTAAAGAAAAGGTGTTTCTACAATGCGCGTGCGAGGTTAATGGGTTTAAAGAGTGGGTCCACGAATAAAGTTGGGTGGGCCTGCTTGGTTTTAGATCCTGCACGTTGAGTTATGAATGAATTTGACTTGATTACTCTAAGTAGTGCAATTATAACCCTATGTGGTCTATCATATTGTTATTGTATCATCGTGGTAGCATCTACCAGTTTTACTTTTCTAATCCTTTCCTTGCTCCTATTTTTCATTTATAAAAAATTCAAGGAATGGTACGGAAGAGAGATTTGGTTTGAGTTGGAATAAAAATATTGAAAATCTAGCGGTTGACCGGGTTGGGATTTCGATTATGAGGGGTGACATTACCTTCGATTAAAGCACCTAAGCTACACAAGTCAAAGATAAGAGCATCGTTGGGCAGAGCTGATTGGGCCGACCTCCATGTGGGCCCGTTAGAAATTGGAAGTATCAAAACGCAAGACCAAAAATAAACGACCAAAGTAAAAACAACTCATAATTCAATGTATATCCTTGCATGTTCTTTATCAAAACGCATAAACTTAGATTCTCCTTATTTGTTAAAAAAAAAAAAAAAAAATTCTTCTTATTTGACCAAAAAATACTCTCTCCTTATTATGATTTTCTTTTTGAAATATAACCTATGTGTATATACTTGAGAATAAATAAATATATATATAAAAACAATTGTTGCAAATGCAATTCACTTTGATTTTGTTTTAATTTTAAGAACTGAAAATCAAACTAAACTGATTTAAGTTAATTTTTTTATTTAATCAATTAACGGTTTTCTTTTCAGTTTTACAGCTTAAAACTATTTAATTCAGTTTCCCAATAGTCCTGCTTCGAAATAGTATGTGCATTGATGAAGATTTATTTTATATAACTTCCATAAAATATTTATTATAGCAAAATTTTTAAGTTAAATCTTATAAATTAATTAAATAGATTTAGCTTCGATTTGAATATTTTATCAATATCAATATAACAATAAGTATGTTTATTTTTCAGTATGTTAATTAGTTATAAATATGGTTATGGCCAAAATTTAATTAATTTATTTTGCTTAAAAATTTAATTAATTTTTAATCATTTAACACGTCTGTATTTAAATGGAATAAGATTATTATAAACAAAATATATTTATATTTAAATTTAAAATTACAAGTTAAACTAAATAACTTTTTATATCACTTAATCACGTGATTAATGATATCAGATTATAGTTTTGCCAACTAAGAAAAAATAAGAATAATAATATTTTCATTATTTTCTTTAAAATAATATTTTCATTTTATCTTTTATTGCATCCATAAATTCAAATTCAATTGCGTTTGAGTAAAAAACGAGAACGGAAGACGCGTGACGATGTGCCAGTCCATGTAAAATAAATGCATTACATTTTTAGTTTAAAATTGAAAAGAATTACACAGTATTAGTATACTTTTCTTAATATTCTTATAGTCTTTTCGTTAAAATTTATTACAAACTACAAACATTTTAAAGAAAAATATTAATTTAAAAATAAAAAAAGTGACTTATTTACACAATTTTTATATTTTTAATAATTTTAATTATAACTAAAAATATATTAAAAATTATTTAAAAACTTGATATTAATATTTTTTTAAAGTATTCTTTATATGCATATGTTTGCAACACAGTACTATTCCTATCTAATCCTATGAACTCCTATTTAAAAAATTAAACATAGATCTATGATTGTTTAAAATGCATTACTGTCTCAAACATCTGCTAAGGAGTCTAATAATGAACTCCCTTAAAATATTATATTTTTTTATAAATTCTTTAATCCTAACTACTTAGTTATTTTTGTTGTTATAAAATTTTAATTATTTTCCTAATTAATGGAAATTTTTCTTAATAAAATTGTATTTATTTTGTATAAAAAAATTTAAAAATTTATTTGATAAATATTGTCAAGCTTGTAATTTATTATTGAGTAATCTATAATATTTTGTACTTGTTAAATATTAATTGAAGAATTATTTAGTGTTCGATTTAAACGGAGTTCAAAAAAGAAAAGTAAATAATAAATTCGACATGAACATTAAGGCGGTGTGAATAGTAACTCTAGCATGAATAGTAAATCTGGCATGAACAATAAGGCAATATTAACAGTAACTCTAGCTGAATAATATCAAAAAAAAAATTTAAAAATTTTTACCTATAAATAGGGAGCCTTGCATAAAATTTTATTTATTTACACTTCTCAAAGGTTCTAGAAAGACCCAAGGCCATATATCACTAATTTTTCTCATACTAAACCCTCATAAACTTAGATTTCTCACTAGATTTGAGATTTTATATCTATTCTGAAGGATCTGAAGTAAGTTTCTATAAGTTTGAAGTTAGATTTACCATTCGTTTCTCTTTTTCTTCTCTTTCTTGTAGATAGTTGATGATATCTTAGGAGAAACTTCGTTGTAAAGCTAAATCTTCGGTGGATCTTGTCGTAAAATAAGTAATATTTAGTAGATCTGATGTGAATCGTTGTTTTAAGGTAAGGGAAGCTTACTTTAACTATTAAACGATATTTAAAATGATTTAGTGTGTTATTACAAGAAGTTTTGAGATGACTTTGTCACATCTCTTGGATAAAAGCTATTTTTTATGTTATAACTGCTGTTAATTGATTTAAAAGCTGAGATTTGGCTGAAATATTATGAATTGTTATAGCTGAGCTAAGCTGTTGAGAATATGATTTTGTCTATGCTGCATTATATTGAGATATACGTCTTGCATCATTATAAAGCCAAGTTACAAGTTTAGGTGAATAGACGTGTAATAATAGAGCATGTTGAGTTGTGTTATGTTGTGCTGTCTAGATCCAGATACCATAATGGGTTGCTCTCAGACCGGCTCGCCCATACTTTAAAGCTTATGCACGACTGTACATATTGATGTGCATGATCGTGCTTCTTGTTCAAATATTTGAATTTGAAGAAATATTAGGGTTTTAAAACTTTATATATAGAGAAGAGGAATGAGGGCAAAAAGATATCTTAGTTTTGACATGCTTTTGATGACACTTGGAGTCACTGAGAGCAAAGATCATTGGCAAAGATAAAGAAAGCATTTTTGAAGTTCAAGCAAGTGATCAATAGCGTGTTTGAAAAATGAGAACTCTTTTCATTCCTTTCTCTTGGTAATTTTTCTAGTTTGCATTCTTCTTTCAATTGGATATGAATTTGTTTACAATTACTTTGATTGTTTACTTTACAATAAATAGTTAAATTCATAGCTAAGGTCATAGTGGATCTTTTACATAACTTTTTATGATCTTTGTGTTTATTGAGAATTACAATTTCTATATGTGTTTAATTTTTATTCCATTGCATTTAAATATATGTTAGGAATTGGTCACTCTTAGCATCTTAAATTAATGGCATTTTAGGTGATCATACTCATTTAGTTAATAAATCTATAGGATAAAATGAGACAAAAAAATTAAGTAGACTAAATTTAGTTTTTCTCTTTCAATCATTATTAAATTAATAAGCTTATAGGTGCTATGTGTTTTCTCTTTTTTTACCTTGCATGACCATTGAGGGTAATAACTTAGAGAAAATATTGTTAACATTGCATGATCATTGGATGTTAATAAATTTAGTAGAATTTTGACAATAAACATAAAGAATTGAAAAGATGAAACTATATGTCCTAAGTTCTTCTCTAATGGTCTCATCAAAAGTTGCGCTATTTTATTTGTTTTAAATTATTTGTTAATTTGATTTGTTTCTAATTTCAAAGTTCAAACAATTAAAACATAATTTTCTTAGTATTTAAGAACAATCATTGTGGGATGAGATTCTGATAATTCAACTTAGAAACTAATTTTATTACTTTTTTATAGGTACACTGGTCTACAAATAGCATCAATAGTGTAACACCTCAAATTAATTTCCAAATAATTAAATTTCATAAAAATAAAAATAATAAAATTTTTCATTCAAACGATTCCCAATACGTAGTTCAATAAAGTATTTCAAATAAGGATGGATTACAAGTTTATATCAAATTATTGCTACATGACTAATTTAAATACATCATAGTTTTCAAAATAACTTTCTAAGTCATATAGCAGTTTCATCCATCTATTCACTGAGCCCGTTGCTAATCGTCTTGATCACCCAAAAAATAAATGTAATGGTGAGTACTCTACACTATCACAATAGGCACAAAGACTCATCTTGCCCGTTCAACACATATATACATGACATAATTTAATTCATTCATTAAACATCCATTAATCGATTTGTCACATCAATTCACACATTAAGTCACATCAATTCACACTTGCGCTCACTGCACCTCCAATCAATCCACAAACACATGTGCGTTCACTGTACGTTAGTCACATTCAATGTGGCACTGTGATCACAAATTCTTGATGCCTTCAACCTCAAGGACTTACTCAGTTCACACTATGGATGGTCGCCGAATAGCTTCCGCTAAACGGATACAACGTGTGCAGTATTAAGCCCCCAAGTAAAGGTGTTAGTTAGAGGCCGAGTCAGGAGGAGAGTATGTGACCTATGATGTACCCACACTCATTGTTGGTGTCACCACCGCCCTCTTTTTTCCAAGGTATTTCTATCGCCTCCATCTTCTACACCCCAGTGTATCACTAAATTATTTATAGTTTTTCAACATATTCAAACACAACCAACATGACATTCATACATATTCACCCATTTCATATTGTTCATCATCCATTAATGGCATGCAACCATATACAATCACCCACATTTTCAATCACATCATAGTTTTCATCTTCACACATCGCATGTACACACATAATCAGTCACATTACACTTAAACACACCATAATTCCATCACAATCCCATGTTAATCAAATTCATTTCATCACACACATCACCTAATAACTACCCTATCATATTCCACACGAGATTTTCACTAAGGTACATACTTTCCTACATTTATCTCAACTACATTTCATTATCTAGCTCTAACAACAAATTTCAAACAAAAACAGACAGAAAATAGTCCCCTTTTACCTCGAAATGAAGACCCAACATGAAATAATAGTAGAAAACGTTCCCCACATGGTGCTTCATTCCTCCAAGCATCCTAAACATGATTTCAACCTTCAATCTTACTCACAAACGACTTTGGAGGCAATTTAATTGGTGGAAAAGAGTTTAGGGTCGAGATAATCGCGAGAGAAGGAAAAGGAAATGTGAAAAATACATTTTCTTGAACTTTAACCCCTCAAATACCCTTCTGATCGCGATATTCTCACTATAGCGAGACATGAACCTCGCTGCAGTGACACCCTCTCTCGCTTTAGCGAAAATATCAGAAAAAAATGTACTCTGATTTCTATAGAATCTCACTACAGTAAGATTGCACCTAGAAATGCATCATCTTCTATCACCTTCTCGTTACAACGAGGAGCTTCTCACTATAGTGAGAACGCAATAGAATTATCCAACTTGCTCAGGGCCTTCTCGCTACAGCAAGAGTGCCCATGTAACACACATTTAGCCTATTTTTCAATCAGTCCAAT